AGAAAAGAGTTGCTTGCCAGTTTGTACCACATCCGTTGTCTGATGTCTAAAAAAAAAATCGTCAGCGGGTTGAGTACCCAAGAGACATTATTAAAACAAGAATTTTTGGCCCAAAACAAGTGTGTTCTTAGCCTTCCACCCTATTCCCCAGATTTGTCTCCCTGTGATTATTTTCTATTCTCAAAATTAAAGTTCTGATTAAAAGGACACATCTTTAACGATATTGATTACATCCAAAGGGCCGTAACATCGACTTTAAGGGCCATAACAACTAAAGCACTACAGAGGTCGTTCCAGTGTTTGTTAGATAGTGCCACTTGCTGTATTAATGCTTACTTTGAATAAAATACAGATTATATCTTCAACTGTTGATTTGTTAGATTTTTATGGAATTAGTCTCATTACTTAATTGTCAGACCTTGTATACAAGGTCCGACAAATAAGTAATGAGACAGATTTTATTATGGCCAGGACAAAAATGAACCAAAGCATGGAATCTAAAGAGGCAACATTCATCTATTATGTGGCAACTTTTCATCGCTGCTTGATAAGCAGACAACAAACAAGCTGCCATTTTACTGATCTAGTCAGAGGTGCATTATTATGTAATCAGTACAGAGCAAAAAGCTAACATTAAATTCTTCTTAAAACTCAGAAAAAGTGCAATTGAAACAGTTTAATGGATGCAACAAGTTTATGGGGATAATTGTTTATCTTGTGCACACATTTTGTATCATTGCAAACATGGTTAAATATAGATATATTTCTGGTGTCATTGCAAACATGGTTATATATAGATATATTTTTGGTGTCATTGCAAACATGGTTATATTTAGATATATTTCTGGTGTCATTGCAAACATGGTTATATATAGATATATTTCTGGTGTCATTGCAAACATGGTTATATATAGATATATTTTTGGTGTCTTTGCAAACATGGTTATATATAGATATATTTTTGGTGTCATTGCAAACATGGTTATATATAGATATATTTCTGGTGTCATTGCAAATATGGTTATATTTAGATATATTTCTGGGTTAATTTGGGCATGGTTATACATATACATAGATGTATTTGTGGTGTAACTGCAAGTAATGTTATATATATATATGGGGTATAACTGAAAGTAAAGTTAGATGTATTTGTAATGCAACTGCAAGTAAATTTATATATAGACATATTTCTGGCTTTATTGCAAACATAATTATGTATAGATTTTTTTTGGCTTAATTGCAAGTAAAATTATATACAGATGTATTTAAGGTGTATCTGCAAGTATAGTTACATATAGATGCATTTGTGGTGAAACTGCAAATAAAGTTTTATATAGATGCTTTTCTAATTTTGGATTTGGTCAGGAATCAATTTGGATCCAAATGTATGATTCTAGGGTTCTTATTACTTTGGGACGTGAGTGCAGAGACTGGCGAGCTGGTGCTGCAGAATCAGAAGTTCAACAAATGATTCATGACAATTCCTGCCTAAGTGATGAGACTGTGTATATGGATGGCTCTGTGTTAAAGGGCAAAGTGCATGGGGGTTCATAGCGGAAGACAAATGGATGTCACTTGGTGCAACAAAACCTGGCATATGATATAACAACATCTAGTTTGAGAATGGAGGTGGAGGCAGTCACTTCTGCCTTCCCCTGGCTTGAGAATCACCTGTACAAACATGTCATCATTGTAACTGACTCACAGAGCATGCTAAGAAAGGTGGAGACGGGCATGATCCGTGCAGAGTAGCAAGCATCACTTCAGAAGTCCCGGGTAGTTAGCATCCTTTGATATTTTTTCCAGAATATGCCGGTGTGTTGGGAAATGAGCAGAGAGATAGATTAGCTGGTTTAGCAGTACTTGGTGGTGAACTGATGTATGACAAGCTGGAGGATGTTTTGATGGCCCTCTGGGAGTGAGTGAACAGTGCCGAGGAACAGATAGATCATTACAGTCTGAGGAGAATGGCACTGCAAAGAGTTAAAAGAGGATCTGGCCGACGCTCAACACTCAGGGGAAAGGAGACGAATATACATTCAGACAGTTACTGGTACCATCTGAATTGTAACTCTTTGTTTGCTGCTGAAGATCGCGACAGAGCACTTATGTGGGTGTCCCGAGTGCTGTGATGTAGATTCCTAATTCAACATTTAGCTCAGCAAACACTCTGCAGTCATAGTGTGAAGTTCATTTACAGTGGAAATAGCTGTATGGAAGCAGCGTGGGTTTGGACCTGGGTATTATCCATGGGAACGTGCTGGCCTGGGAGTGAGAGGTGATTTGTAAAGCCCTCATGGCCTTTGTTTCAGAAAGAGGTGCTGGCAGCTTCTGAGGTGAACTGCCGTCTTTTGTGCTGTACATTAAAGATTGTTGTGTGCTCTGTTGGTGTTTGGGCCAACAAGACAAGAGGACCTATCAAAGGCACTGTAAAACATCATTAACTGACCTTTTCCTAACCATTGACCTCTGCACAAGACAAGAGAATCTATCAACAGCACTTTAAAACATCATTGACTGACCTGTTCATAACCATTGACCTCTGCACAAGACAAGAGGACCTATCAACGGCACTGTAAAAACATCATTAACTGACCTTTTCCCATAAAATGAAAGCCTGCCTGTAGGTTGATTGGACAGCCCTGCCAATTAAGGAACTCTAGGTCATTAGTCAGCCCCTGTGTCCAGTTGACTGGTTTCCAAACTTCTGCTGGGTATATTTGCTGCAAAATCTCTAATCCATCCACACAGCCCTGAAGAGGAGTTGTCTCTATCTGAAAATAGAAAATCTCTAATCCATCTACACAGCCCTGAAGAGGAGTTGTCTCTATCTGAAAACAGAAAATCTCTAATTCTTCTACACAGCCTTGAAGAGGAGTTGTCTCTATCTGAAAATAGAAAATCTCTAATCCATCTACAGAGCCTTGAAGAGGAGTTGTCTCTATCTGAAAATAGAAAATCTCTAATCCAACTACACAGCCCTGAAGAGGAGTTGTCTCTATCTGAAAACAGAAAATCTCTAATTCATCTACACAGCCTTGAAGAGGAGTTGTCTCTATCTGAAAACAGAAAATCTCTAATTCATCTACACAGCCCTGAAGAGGAGTTGTCTCTATCTGAAAATAGAAAATCTCTAATTCATCTACACAGCCCTGAAGAGGAGTTGTCTCTATCTGAAAACAGAAAATCTCTAATCCATCTACACAGCCTTGAAGAGGAGTTGTCTCTATCTGAAAATAGAAAATCTCTAATCCATCTACACAGCCCTGAAGAGGAGTTGTCTCTATCTGAAAATAGAAAATCTCTAATCCATCTACACAGCCCTGAAGAGGAGTTGTCTCTATCTGAAAATAGAAAATCTCTAATCCATCTACACAGCCTTGAAGAGGAGTTGTCTCTATCTGAAAATAGAAAATCTCTAATCCAACTACACAGCCCTGAAGAGGAGTTGTCTCTATCTGAAAACAGAAAATCTCTAATTCATCTACACAGCCCTGAAGAGGAGTTGTCTCTATCTGAAAATAGAAAATCTCTAATCCATCTACACAGCCTTGAAGAGGAGTTGTCTCTATCTGAAAATAGAAAATCTCTAATTCATCTACACAGCCTTGAAGAGGAGTTGTCTCTATCTGAAAACAGAAAATCTCTAATTCATCTACACAGCCTTGAAGAGGAGTTGTCTCTATCTGAAAATAGAAAATCTCTAATTCATCTACACAGCCTTGAAGAGGAGTTGTCTCTATCTGAAAATAGAAAATCTCTAATCCAACTACGCAGCCTTGAAGAGGAGTTGTCTCTATCTGAAAACATTTGTTATTGTACATTGTCAGCACTGTAGAACAACAAGACAACAGCTTGTATATTCATTCTCCTTACCACCCCTGTGTTAGTGGAGCTCTTCCAGAGAGCACAGATGATTAAAATTGTTATCTAACATGCAGTCATAAGAGATTGGGCATGAAACTAACTGCCTCATTCCACAGAAAATTGTATCTGTGAACTCTGACCTGACTAATCATGTACACACAGGGCTTTTCACAATATAACCTAAGCCTTGACCCATTAGGGTCGTGGAGGTGTATCAGTGGAAGCACTAACAGACAAACACCGCTGTTTTTCTCTGGGTTCTGCTTATTAAAGAAACATATCATAATTTAGTTATATCCATTTCTTGATGTCTTTCTAGATTTGTCTTTGCCTTCCTCTTCTTCAACTACCCTCCAGTTCCTTGAAGTAAAATCTTTGTAATTAAAACATGTCTCACCACATGCCTGAACAAAACTAGCTTGTGAACTTTGACAACAACCCAAAGAGGTTCTCAATGTCCTCCTGCAAATGTGTTTTATGTTTTAAATTGCTCATTCACAAAAATCATCTACCGCATTTTTTCAGGGCTATTCATGAAACGGCTGATAGATACACAGTTGCTCATCCACTAGACATGTCCTATAGTTTTCCTTCAAAGTCTTAGTGTATCTGCCTGAAAGGCAAGGAACCAACAGTCTGCATACAAATAAGCCTGATGTGTAAAACATATGTGCACAAAGCAATCAAGTTCTGCAACAAAACTGAAGTCCAGAAGTGGATGAACAACCAGAACCTTCGTCTGGAGTTTATGGTACTGTTTCTATTCATGCTTAGTAATGATTATGTACCATCTTATATGAGTTATAGCTATCTGTCTGATTCTTAAATTAATTTTTTAATTCAACACAAACTATCTGATATCAATTATTCCAGTAAAAATGTTAAAGATGAGCTCTACAAATATTCTAGAGTCCAATGCAAATGCCATTGTTATGGGACACATATATATGAGTGCTAGCTGCAACCAACCAGCACAGACTGTGCTAGACTATCCCTCTGTCATGGTAACAGAACTTCAGCTATTCTGCTATATTGTTTTCCAGTCTGCCATGAATAAAGGATAATAAATTGTTTTAAGACAAATATATTTTACCTAAATTGCTCTATAACATGAGAAACGACAGAAAACATACGCGTCTGTTGCGATCACGTCGCTGGACAACAAAATCAGCAGGAAATCCCCCAACATAGACGGCCGTTGTAGGACCAATGATACTGGTGTTGGAACAGCCAACATCTCGGATGGAATTTTCACCTGCAAGTAATCACAGAATTGCTGCTGTCCATCAGTCTGAATGAACAAACAAACACATGCACTTATACAAACTCTCATTCTCTTGCACGCACTGATGCACAAACACATGCACTTAAACAAACTCTCATTCTCTTGCACACACTGATGCACAAACACATGCACTTATACATACTCTCATTCTCTTGCACACATTAATACACAAACACATGCACTTATACAAACTCTCATTCTCTTGCACGGACTGATGCACAAACACATGCACTTATACAAACTCTCATTCTCTTGCACGCACTGATGCACAAACACATGCACTTATACAAACTCTCATTCTCTTGCACGCACTGATGCACAAACACATGCACTTATACATACTCTCGTTCTCTTGCACACACTGATGCACAAACACATGCACTTATACAAACTCTCATTCTCTTGCACGCACTGATGCACAAACACATGCACTTATACATACTCTCATTCTCTTGCACACACTGATGCACAAACACATGCACTTATACATACTCTCATTCTCTTGCACGCACTGATGCACAAACACATGCACTTATACATACTCTCATTCTCTTGCATGCACTGATGCACAAACACATGCACTTATACATACTCTCATTCTCTTGCATGCACTGATGCACAAACACATGCACTTATACATACTCTCATTCTCTTGCATGCACTGATGCACAAACACATGCACTTATACATACTCTCATTCTCTTGCACACATTGATGCACAAACACATGCACACATCAGACAATTATTGCCTGACCAGCCAGTTGTGCTCTCACATTCTCAGTTAAATGTATCTGCATTCAGGAATGTAAGACACCATTTTATAATCTAACTGTCTCTCTCTACCTCCCACCTCCCAATTTTTTTTTTCTTCTTTTACTTCTCTCATTCTTTTATTTACTGATTGAAAATATTGTCTTTATACTAGTCTATTTTTATTGTGTACGTAACAAATCTAATAAGCAACACTGTACTGGCTAATGCATATGTCTGTTAGCCACACACACCCTGAGTGCACTTCTCTCCAGAATCTCACACACTGAGTGCACTTCTCTCCAGAATCTAAAACACTGAGTGCACTTCTCCCCAGATTCACACACACTGACTACACTTCTCCCCAGATTCACACACACACACTGAGTGCATGTATCCCCAGATTCACACACACTGAGTGCACTTATCCCCAGATACACACAATAATTGCACTTCTCCCCCAGATTCACACACACACTGAGTGCACTTATCAACAGATACACACACAATAAGTGCACTTCTCCCCATATTCACACACACACTGACTACACTTCTCCCCAGATTCACACACACTGAGTGCACTTCTCCCCAGATTCACACACACTGACTACACTTCTCCCCAGATTCACACACACTGAGTGCACTTCTCCCCAGATTCACACACTGAGTGCACGTATCCCCAGATTCACACATACACTGAGTGCATTTCTCCCCAGATTCACACATACACTGAGTGCACTTCTCCCCAGATTCACACATACACCAAGTGCACTTCTCCCGAGATTCACACACTGAGTGCACTCCTCCCCAGATTCACACATACACCAAGTGCACTTCTCCCGAGATTCACACACTGAGTGCACTTATCCCCAGATACACACAATGAGTGCACTTCTCCCCAGATTCACACATACACCAAGTGCACTTCTCCCGAGATTCACACACTGAGTGCACTCCACCCCAGATTCACACACACTGAGTGCACTACTTCCCAGATTCACATACACTGAGTGCACTACTTCCCAGATTCACACACACTGAGTGCACTACTTCCCAGATTCACACACACTGAGTGCACTACTTCCCAGATTCACATACACTGAGTGCACTTCTCCCCAGATTCACACACACTGAGTGCACTACTTCCCAGATTCACACACACTGAGTGCACTACTTCCCAGATTCACACACACTGAGTGCACTACTTCCCAGATTCACATACACTGAGTGCACTTCTCCCCAGATTCACACACACTGAGAGCACCATGTGAAGTAGCTAAATATATAATTATATCCCCAGTAGCCAGGATAGTATCCACACAAAAAGCCCAGAACTGAGAACATAAGCAGTGGGTTCATTTGTTCTAGCAAGTCCAGTGGCAGAATGATATGGACAGATCCCGATGGACATACCATTTTGAAACACAGGAAATGTGGCCATACTTTCTGTAGCTGAATAGTAAATGGTTGGTCAGACTTAAGGCTCAGGATCTTCCAACGAACCCTCCATTCAAGCCTAGAAGTGTTGTTTGCTTCTGGCATTTTCCAAATATGTTGACTAGAAGTGTATGGCTCTGTTGCCCAATCACTGAGTTGAGTGCACGGTGCAACAGTGAGCTGTGGATTTCATGGAAACGCTTTTGAATTGTGACCAAAGTGATTTTTTTTTTTTTGGTGTGAATTGCATTTCAGAAAATGGCTGGTGGCCTGTTTCCTCAGAACTAAAAAGTAAAAAAAAAAAAATTTAAAATCATTTTTCATGCCTTTAGGTGCATCGGGTTTATGGAAAGAGCACCCATATTTTTACAGACCAATAGGCACTAGCTGGGTCGCCCAGCGAAACCCCAGACCAGAATAAAAATTCACACAGCCAGCAGTGGGTTTTGATCACAGTACGCTGGAATTATGAGTTGGACTGGCAACACCTAAGCCACAGACACCGCTTCCATCGAACTGGCATTCTGTTTGGTTTTTGTAAGCACAGGAACTGAGCAACTATGGGGTCACCAGTTGGCAATGAAGAAGTTGGAAATGTGTGACTAACAGCCAAAAACTAACATGAGAGGCCACATGCAACAGTATTATATGGGCCAGTGGGACATTTCCAGAGACATTTCCAGGGACATTTCCAGGGACATTTCCAGGTTTTTTTTTGCCACAGAAACAGCACCGGAAACAAAAATTCTCTACCTTTCCATTTTTCATCCACTGTGACAGAGCCAAATCCTCCAATCCTGCGAGCTTCAAACGTGTGCCACTTTCTGTCATTGTATACTAATCCCTCATCATTAGTGGTGGTGACAGAACCAATACTAGGACAGCCTGGGGAGAGACACACAAATATCAGACACTTGACTCATACAAACTATAGTCACAATAGCTCCATTTCAATCATGTAACATGTCAGTAAAACCAGAAGTTATCATTAGGAAATTGTGCAAACATTTCTATCATTTTGATCAAGTTGAAAGCATGACCAGCCTTCACATTGTGCACTTTCACAGGTGCTCACTTCCATTGTGCATCCGTTTGTTACCAAGAATACAGGCCTGATTTCAGACTAGTAATTCTGTGACAAAGCAAATCATGAAGCCAGCATGGCACATGATGATGGTACTATCTAGTGTAGACTCACATGCCTATAATACCCAGCAGCCAGAGTGTCAGGCTTGATTCTTTGATGTATGAACACAGAAGCATCAAGAATGAGACTCAGGGCACCCCACAAAAGGGGGTGAGGGGGGGGGGGGGGGGAGGGTGAAATGTGATGAAACCACTGATGTGTGGCAGAGAACTAAACTGAGAACCAAACAGAACTAAACAGATTCAGGTGAATCATGGGGTGAGGCTGTGGTGTTGGTGATTGTGAATCAAACATGAATCAAGGCTGACCACTGATCCTACCTTGTGAATCAAACATGAACCAAGGCTGACTACTGATCGTACCTTGTGAATCAAACATGAACAGGGTCTGACCACTGATCCTAGTGAATCAAACATGAACCAGGTCTGATTACTGATCCTACCTTGTGAATCAAACATAAACCTGGGCTGACCACTGATCCTACCTTGTGAATCAAATACAAACCTGTGCTGACCACTGATCCTACCTTGTGAATCAAACACGAACCTGGGCTGACCACTGATCCTAGTGAATCAAACATGAACCAGGTCTGATTACTGATCCTACCTTGTGAATCAAACATGAACCTGGGCTGACAACTGATCCTTGTGAATCAAACATGAACCAGGTCTGATTACTGATCCTACCTTGTGAATCAAACATAAACCTGGGCTGACCACTGATCCTACCTTGTGAATAAAACATGAACCGGGGCTGCCCACTGATCCTTCCTTGTGAATCAAACATGAACCTGAGCTGACCACTGATCCTACCTTGTTAATTAAACATGAACCAGGTCTGACTACTGATCTTACCTTGTGAATCAAACATAAACCGGGGCCGCCCACTGACAAACTGGATCACAATAAACTCTTCCTGGCTGTTGCTTGCTGAAAACAGCATGATACCTGTTCCTCTTTCCAAACGGAACCGGAATCGAATGCCTGCAATGTGAGTGAACAATAATTTAGTAAATGAATATGTTATTGTGTCAATCCTCAAGTAATCAAATAATTATGTAGTGAATGAAAATGTTATTGTGTCAATCCTCAAGTAATCAAATAATTATGTAGTGAATGAAAATGTTATTGTGTCAATCCTCAAGTAATCAAATAAATATGTAGTGAATGAAAATGTTAGTGTGTCAACATTCAAGTAAACAAACAATTATTCACTGAATAAACATTTGATGGTGTCAAGCTTCAAGCAAAGGCTGCCATGATGTTCAAGAGGAAGAGAAGAAGAAGAAAAACTGGTGTGACTTTGTTGCACCATTGGGTATGTCTTCTTCTTTTGTCAAAATCTGCTTGTGCCGTTAGGCGTCGCAGTCTATCAGATGATCGGCAACCGAGCCAGGGCGCGCTCAGTCGCTTCATATGCCGTGATGTTATGAAGTCTCAAGTTGTCCGTGACTCCTTCAATCCATCTTCTTCTTGGTCTTACCCTGCCTCTTGTTGTTTCGATTTTCATGTTGTATGCTCTTGATGCTGGCATCGTTGGTTCCATTCTCATTAGGTGACCAAACCATTTCATTCTTTGCTTCTCAATAAATTTAACGATGGGTATGGTTCCAATAGTTCTTGTAATCACATCGTTTCTCACTCGATCTCTTCTGGTTTTATTCGCAGCCATTCTCAAACATCTCATTTCACAGGTGGTTAGTCTTCTCTCATGTTCTTTTGTTAATGTCCAAGTCTGACATTGATAACCTAATGTCGGTATAAAGACTGTATTTATAATTTGTCTTTTTATCTCAGCTGGGACAGCAGGGTGTTTTAAAATTGGGGCAAGCTGGTATGCGACATTGTTGGCTTGTTGGATTCTTGCTTCAATCCCTGTCTATTTTACCATTGGATGTAAAGATACTTCCCAGGTATTTAAATTCTTGCACTTGTTTTAGGCTGTGATCTAGAATCTTTATGTCGATGGTCTGTTGCTCTCTACTTATGCTCATGACTTCTGTCTTTTCAGTATTGATCTTCATATGATGCTTGAGGCAACTGTCGTGTAGTAGGTTCATGTGGTCTTGCAGCTGTTTACTATCACTGTGAAATATGCATTGATCGTCGGCAAAGAGCAGCTCATTGAAGTCCTCCTGTTTATCGACATCTGTTGGTGTTATGTCTATTTTATTAATATTGTCCATAAATATAATGAAAAGTAAAGGTGATAATACACAACCTTGTCTTACTCCTGATGTTACTGGGAACCAGTCTGTGATGCCAGCTCTTGTTCTAATGGCGCTTTCACTTTGTCTATAAATAGCCCTAACACAATCTAAAATTGTTCCATTTATACCGTAGTTTTCAAGAACTTTCCATAATAAATTTCTGTTTACTCTATCGAAAGCTTTTTCTTGATCTATGAAAGCGATGTTCATTTGATGTCTGTGTTCTATTGTCTTTTCGCTAACTTGTCTTAAAGCAAAAATAGCGTCAGTACACCCTCTTCCTTTTCTAAATCCGACCTGTGATGGGCTCAGGATCGGTTCTACAACGGATCTAATTCGTTGATCCAGAATTTTGGCAAACGTTTTTCCTACGTGGCTTAGAAGGGAGATGCCTCTGTAATTGTTACAATCTTGCTTATTGCCTTTTCTTTTCCAAATTGGGACTATAAGAGCTCTTTGCCAGTCTATTGGTACAGTTCTTTCATTCCAGGCTTTCCTAAATATGTGGAGTAGCCAGGTGACTCCAATTTCTCCACAAGCCTGTATTGCCTTGGCTGATATTCCATCAACACCTGATGCCTTATTTTTGGGACTGCATCTGATTGCTTCTCTGACTTCTTGTTCGATTATTGTAGGCTGTTCCTTGTTTGTACATCTGGGTGTGAATGGTACTGTTTCCTCATTTCCTGTTACATTCAGAAGAGTCTGAAAATATTCTTTCCACCTTTCTCTGATCTTGCCCTCCTCATGTATGGGTTTGCCTTGACTATCATTGACATATTCAGATGGCTGGAATGGTTCATCTCTAGTCCTCATTTTTGCAATGGTTTTGTAAAACTGTCTACTAGATTTAGCACAGATTTTGGTAAGATTTTCCCCATACATGATCCAGGATGTTTCCTTGGATTGTTTAATTTCTCTTGCAGATTGTCGCCTGGCAATTCTGTACTTGATATAATCGTCATCTGAGCGGGATCTTAGCCATTTCTTGTATTGCTCCTTTTTACATTTCACTGCTTGTTTTACGTTATCATTCCACCATGCTGTTTTTTCCCTGAACGTTCCTCCTGTGTATCTAATACTACAGAGTGTTGTTAGGCAGTTCAGAAGAGTGTTCTTAAATTTTTGCCACGCAGCTTCCACATTGTCACTTGATGTTATTAGCTCAGCCATCTTCGCCGTCATTTCTGCCTGTTCTTTTGCTTGGTTGTCTAGATTGCTTAAGTGTCTTATGTCAATCATTGAGGTACGTACTGATGTTTTTGGTTTTTTGTTAATTGTTGCTTCGCTTAGATATACGATCAGCGGTCGATGGTCTGTATTTAAAGAGATGTTAGGAATTACTCTTGCGTCTTTTACTAAGCTTCTTCTCTTTTGTCGATTTAGTATGTAGTCCAACTGTGCGGCCTGGTCTGGGTTGCTCCATTTATACCAGGTATTTATTTGGCTTTGTCGATGCTGATAGAAACTATTGGTGACATAAAGGCCATGCTCTGCACAAAGTTCTAAAATACGCTGCCCGTTGTAATTGCAGACTATGATTGGGTATGTAGTTATAATAAAACAGAATACAAAAATTGGGTTGTTATTGCTATAGCCACTGCTTTTAACTTCTTTGAAAAATAAATTTTAAAAAAAAGAGAGAGATATTTTTAAAAACCATGCCGGAGGGAAAAGTCAAAAGCAAGAGAGCAAGAGGTAATAATTTATGTGGAAGAACAATATCAAAGAATAATGGTGTTATTTCACCTGTGTGTCAGCCTGCAGACATGAAGATATCATTTCCCTATATGGGAGCCTGCAGACAGAAAGTTATAACTGCAGTATGTCAGAGCCTATAGACATAAAGATATCATTTTCCTGTGTGAGAACCTAAAGACAGAAAGATATAATTTCCCTGTGTGACAACCTAAAGACAGAAAGATATCATTTCCCTGTGTGAGAGCCTAAAGACAGAAAGGTATTATCTCTCTATGTGAGAGCCTGAAGACAGAAAGGTATTATCTCTCTATGTGAGAGCCTGAAGACAGAAAGGTATTATTTCTCTATGTGAGAGCCTAAAGACAGAAAGGTATTATCTCTCTATGTGAGAGCCTGAAGACAGAAAGGTATTATTTCTCTATGTGAGAGCCTAAAGACAGAAAGGTATTATTTTCCTGTGGGTGAGCCTGCATACAGAAAGATATAATTTCCTTGTGTAACAACCTAAAGACAGAAAGATATCATTTCCCTGTGTGAGAGCCTAAAGACAGAAAGGTATTATCTCTGTATGTGAGAGCCTAAAGACAGAATGGTATTATTTCTCTATGTGAGAGCCTAAAGACAGAAAGGTATTATCTCTCTATGTGAGAGCCTGAAGACAGAAAGGTATTATTTCTCTATGTGAGAACCTAAAGACAGAAAGGTATTATTTATCTATGTGAAAACCTTAAGAGAGCAAGGTATTATTTTTCTGTGTGAGGGCCTAAAGACAGAAAGTTATTATCTCCCTGTGTGAAAGCCTAAAAACAGAAAGATATCATATTCCTGTGTGAGAGCCTGTAGACAGAAAAGTATTATTTCCCTGTGTGAAAGCCTAAGGACAGAAAGGTATTATTTCCCTGTGTGAAAGCCTGCAGACAGAAAAGTATTATTTTCCTGTGTGAGAGCCTAAAGACAGAAAGGTATTATTTCCCTGTGTGAGAGCCTAAAGACAGAAAGGTATTATTTCCCTGTGTGAGAGCCTGCAGACAGAAAAGTATTATTTTCCTGTGTGAGAGCCTAAAGACAGAAAGGTATTATTTCCCTGTGTGAGACCCTAAAGACAGAAAGGTATTATTTCCCTGTGTGAGAGCCTGCAGACAGAAAAGTATTATTTTCCTGTGTGAGAGCCTAAAGACAGAAAGGTATTATTTCCCTGTGTGAGAGCCTAAAGACAGAAAGAATTAATAAATTCCAGTCAAAATGGCCACAGCCAGCTGACCACTAATGCTTTGAAAAGTTATTTATTTCCAATCAGGTTTTGCTAATGCATAATCATCTGTCTAATGGTGCAACACTGCAAGCTGTGAAATATATGTAGAATGTTTTCTGTTGTGCCTGCAGTATGTTGTTGGCTGCACTAAATGAGTTGGTTTTTTGAAGGTTTGTGCCAACAGTGAGCCCCAATTCTAGTGTGGAACTGTTAGTGTTGGCATATCTAACAGCTGCCATGTGTATTTTTACTTTGCATGTGCCGGCTTGAAGATTTTGCTGGGACTGACAAATGGGAAAATGAAGGACATTTTGTGTGATTTCCACTGGCATGGGAATAGAGCAGTTGTTGGCCACCCATTTGCAGTGATGTTGGAAGTGCAACTAATTAACTTAGCTAGAAAAAGATAGCAATAGCAAACCCAACTATATTCACTTGTTTGAGCTTGTCTGCCAAGACCCCCACCAAGCTATACCTACAGATGTTCTTATTTTGCTGTACTTTGGATCGGAATGTATGTGTTTACATGAGGCTCTTTAAACAGTTTAGGAATAGATAATATATGGTTGGATTTCATGTTTTGTTCTCAATGATTTTCTTATTTTGCTGTACTTTGGATCGGAATGTATGTGTTTACATGAGGCTCTTTAAACAGTTTGAGAATAGACAAATATATGGTTGGATTTCATGTTGTGTTCTCAGTGACAACACAAATAATAAACACAAATGTGAATTTAAGAGACGCGGGCCTGCACTAACCTGTGAATGCCACATTTTGAGGAATTGTGCTTGGGGAGAAAGCGTAATAACTGCCCCCAGTAAAGCGGATCCCTCTGACGACTGAAGCTGGGAAGCTGAGGGCAATGTTGGTCTTCTGAAGCTTGTACAGTGGGGCTGGCCCATTAGGAAACATTGGCTGGCTCCATTTGATCTCCATGGCTGTAGTGTTGTAGCCAGTGGCAATAGGTTTCTGCACCCCTTCTGGAGCTATCAGAGTGAAATATTTCTGCTGTTAGTTTCCAGGCTACTGCTAAAAGTATTAACCAGACATCTCTAGCAATTTCTACCACAGAAACTGAAATATTGTTATTTATATCAGTTACAAATCATAGAGAAAACTTTTTTTTTTTTTTTCATCTCATTGACTAGTCCCCAAAAGCCTATTGGTTGTGTTGTACTGTGTTTGGATGGAATGATATGATTATACTGACTAACCATGGCAACTGAGGAGGTGAAGTGATCATGACTACCTGACTGTTGTGTTTTGTCAATCACAAGAACACTTCGGCAATAATGGCCAGGTACAAATGTCATAGCCAGTAAAAATAATTTCATAGCCAGGTACATAATGTTATAGCCAGTAAAAATAATGTCATAGCCAGGTACATAATGTCATAGCCAGTAAAAATAATGTCATAGCCAGGTACATAATGTCATCATCATCATCAGTTCTCGTTATGCCTAGTGGCACATGAGGCTTCAGAGAGGACTTTCCATGCTTTCCTGTCCTGTGCAATATTCAATGCAGTTTTCCATGTCAAAGATGCCGCACTCAGGTCACTTTCCATCGTTCGTCTCCATGTTGTTTTTGGGCGCCCCTGTTTTCTCTTTCCCTCTGGTGTCCATGTGAGAGCTGTTTTGGCAGGTATATCAGAAGTCATTCTCATAACGTGGCCAAGCCATTTCCATCTTCTCTTGGTAATCATACTGTCTAAAGTTTCTTGGTTTGTGGTTTGAAGTAGTTTAGTGTTTGAGATTGTATCTGGCCAGAAAATTTTGATAATTCTACGTAGACATGTGTGGTGGAAGGTGGACAGCTTATGTGCATCCTTTTTGGTCATTCTCCAGCATTCCGCTCCATAGAGAAGAACTGGCAAAATGATGCTCTTGTAGAGTCGGAGTTTCGTTCCTCTGCAGTAATTGTTGGATTTCCAGATTTGCCTCATCCTTCCAAAAGCAGCTCTAGCTTTGTTCAGACGTGACTGTATGTCTTCCTCTGCCCTTCCCAGTAGGGACACCACACTGCCAAGATATGTGAAATGTTCTACATTTTCAAGTGATTGATTACTTATGGTCACTGATTGTGGTTTGGACTGTTGTCATGATCTTAGTTTTCTTTGTATTTATCTCAGTCCCACCATTTCTGCTGTGCTGTTTAGTCTGTTACTTTCTCTTGTATATGTTCATGTTTATGTGATAGGAGTGCTATATCATCTGCAAAATCAAGGTCCTCAAGCATGGTGAATGGAGTCCATCGTATGCTCTTAATGTCCTGTCTACTGTGTTCTTTAGTATCCAATCAATCACAAGGTTGAAGAGGAGAGATGACATAACACATCCCTGTCTTACACCCGACTTTACTGGGAAAGATGTGTTGTAATTTTTTAAACTGCAGCAGAAAAGTCTTATAGAAGAGAGAGTAATTATGTTGGACTATTTTTCTGGAATTCCATAATATAGTAAAATTTTCCACAGAGGGACCGTCTCTATGGACGCTGTCAAAAGCTTTCAAAAGTCCACAAAATTAATATATATATATCTCTGCCATTCGTTGCATTGTTCTAAAATGTTCCGTATGGCGAAGATGTGCTCAGTTGTTCCTCTGCCCTTTCTGAATCCTGCTTGTTCCACTCGTAGGCATTTATCTACTCCTTTTACAAGCCGCATTATGATGATTTTACAAAATATTTTGCTTGGTACTGAGAGTAGAGTAATTCCCCTCCAATTATTGCAGTCTGTTAAGTCTCCTTTTTTGGGGATTTTGACTATTGTTCCTTCAGTCCAGTCATCAGGCAACACTTCTTTTTCCCAAATATCCTTGAACAATGGTTCTAGAATGTTAGCAGTTGTGTTAGGATCTACTTTGAGAAGTTCTGCTGGCAGTTCGTCTTTGCCTGGTGCTTTGTTGTTCTTTAAAGTGTGGATAGCTTTAAGGATTTCTTGTTTGCTTGGTGGTTCAGTAATAATGTCAATGTTCTGAGAGGCTGGTTGAATATCTGGGGGATTTTCAGGATCAGGTCTGTTCAAGAGGTCGGAGAAGTGTTTAGTCCACTGCATGTCTTGTTTGTGTTCTGTATTGAGCAGTCTGCCTTGGTTATCTCTGATGGGTATGCTGTGATAGTTGTTTCTGTTTCCGCAAATTTGCTGGGTAATTTTGTGTAGGGTTTGTAGATCATGTGCTTTAGCAGCATTTTCTGCTGTTTCTGCAAGATTTTCCATAAATCTTCTCTTGTCAGCTCTGGCACTTTTCTCGGTCATTTTATTTAGTTCGCTATATTCTAACATTAGTTTGTCTTTTTGACGTTCTGATTTAGTGTGATTTATGAGGCTCTTTATTCTTTTTCGCTTGGCAATATAGTCCATGGTTTGACTACTTCTTTGTGGTGTTGTTTCCTGGTTCCTAATATTTTATTGCTAGTTGATATGTATGTTTCTTTGATCTGGTTCCATCTGTCTTGAATGCTGATTGTAGTTGGAGTTTCTGGGACAATTCATAACCTGACTGTTGTGTTTTGTCAATTACAAGAACACTTCGGCAATAATGGCCAGGTACATAATGTCATAGCCAGTTAAAAAAATGTCATAGCCAGTAAAAATAATGTCATAGCCAGGTACATAATGTCATAGCCAGTAAAAATAATGTCATAGCCAGGTACATAATGTCATTGCCAGTAAAAATAATGTCATAGCCAGGTACATAATGTCATAGCCAGTAAAAATAATGTCATAGCCAGGTACATAATGTCATAGCCAGTAAAAATAATGTCATAGCCAGGTACATAATGTCATAGCCAGTAAAAATAATTTCATAGCCAGGTACATAATGTCATAGCCAGGTACATAATGTCATAGCCAGTAAAAATAATGTCATAGCCAGGTACATAATGTCACAGCCAGTAAAAATAATGTCATAGCCAGGTACATAATGTCATAGCTAGGTACATAATGTCATAGCCAGGTACATAATGTCATAGCTAGGTACATAATGTCATAGCTAGGTACATAATGTCATAGCTAGGTACATAATGTCATAGCTAGGTACATAATGTCATAGCTAGGTACATAATGTCATAGCCAGGTACATAATGTCATAGCCAGGTACATAATGTCATAGCCAGGTACATAATGTCATAGCCAGTAAAAATAATGTCATAGCCAGGTACATAATGTCATAGCCAGTAAAAATAATGTCATAGCCAGGTACATAATGTCATAGCTAGGTACATAATGTCATAGCCAGGTATATAATGTGATAGCCAGGTACATAATGTCATAGCCAGGTATATAATGTCATAGCCAGGTACATAATGTCATAGCCAGGTATATAATATCAGAGCCAGGTACATAATGTCATAGCCAGGTATATAATATCAGAGCCAGGTAACCTTGTCCTATTTAGTATGGATGCCCTAATTATAACTTCTGAAGAGCTTGAACCAGTTTGTGGAAAATGCTGATATAGTAGTTAACATTAACGAACATGTCAGAATGACCAGCAATTACCTCGGAGTCAAGGGTTCCAGAGATCTTTTTTTCCCAAATAGGAATTCAAGAATGTTAATTATAATTTCTTCACAATGACCCAGCATTTTTTTTTTTTGTAATACCAGGACAGGAAATCTCAAACAGGAATTCTTAGACAACAGGGTCAAGTAATAACTATAAAATAATATGTAATATAAGTATTAACTATGAATGCTATAAGTATTAAGTGTAGTAATTTCGAATTATCACATGCATGATGAAATCAGTATAATAAAGCATAATAAAGTATTAGAAATGAAAATGTGGTCTATTAAGATTGATTTATGTTTAAAACTGACTCACAACATATCACAAGAAAGTCATCTCCTAACATCAACAAGATAGATCCTTCACTAGTTCTGTTGCCATGCTATGTCCAGACTGTTTTCCTGCGTCCACTGTTGGACTGGTCAGTCCCTGCCTTGTCTTCCATTAACCATGCCTTCCATTATCATTCTTTCAAAACGGTTGTGACATTTGAGGGAGACCAAATATTTTAGTTTCCAAACCTGATACTGTTATAGAGCCAGTAATCTTTGTTGTTCAGATCTTGTAGAATATTTTTTATCTTCTTGGTCTGTGGTATTCCAAGAAATTCATGACATTGTTTAAATGTCTCACTAGGGACTTTTTTTTTTTTTTAAATTTATTATTTTTACAGACTTTTCGGAATTATTGTTCACAAAAGTCACAAAACCAGTACCTGTATACCTGGATAAACTCTGAAGAACTGCCACTATAGAAAACTACCAACCTCTTGTGCTCAGATCGCTATACAAAAATGATGAACTCAATAATACAATTATTACATCCTTGCTCATGTAACAGGCTGGTGGACTGACTGACTGACTTTCTACCCCACCAGGACATCACACAAGCGATAAACACCCGATGACACAAAGTGCCACCATGCAGATGAGGATCACCGTAGAGAGGTCCCAGAAACCGCGTTCAGGACAAATGGCCATTTGACGGCCTGCCACATTGCAGCCCCTGGCAAAAGCCAGAGGGGCTACAAATAAAAAAAAAATTACGTCCTAAAAAGGCTCGTAAGTAAAATTCGAATATGCTGGTGGAGCCAGATTAGCTAGCCTGTAATAATCTAGGTTTGGCTGCACTTAGTAGACTCAAACTGGCAGGTTTGCAGATGTAACTCTCCAGAAAGTGGCCATGCGTCATGATTGTTCATGATGGTACAAAAGACTTGGGGGCTGAGAAAATCTATCTTTTTGGTTTTGGGAGCAGTGAGACTAGAAATGTATAAAACCCCCCATCTGTTGCAGAAAACCTTTTGGGTTTTTCAGCCAAGTAGGTTAAGGGAGCAAGTCAACAGGTAAACAGGCTCAGTTTTGGTTTTTGGTGTTTTTTTTCCGGGTAGTTAGACATGTTTAAAATTTGATTTTTTGTACATCC